GTGCTGTGGAGGGTGCTGGTGTCACGGTGACCCTGGTGCTGTGGAGGGAGCTGGTGTCACGGTGACCCTGGTGCTGTGGAGGGTGCTGGTGTCACAGTGATCCTGGTGCTGTGGAGGGTGCTGGTGTCATGGTGATCCTGGTGCTGTGGAGGGTGCTTGTGTAATGGTGATCCTGGTGCTATGGAGGGAGCTGGTGCCAAGGAGAGTGCTGGTGCTCTAAAGGTTACTGGTGCTCTGAAGGTTGCTGGTGCTATGGAAGGTGCTGGTGCTGAGGAGAGTACTGAGGCTATGGAAGGTGCTTATGTACCTAGCCATGCTGCCAGGCCTGGTTGTTTCCAGGCTAGTCTGTGAGTTGGAGCTGAGTTTGGATTTGGAAGTCACTGGTGCTAAGTTGTGGAGAGGCACAGCTGTCCTCCAGGGGGACACCTGGGCTTGAGGCCAGGCTCGCCTGGGCATCTTAGATCTTGGCTTTGCCGTGTCTTAGCTTCATGACCTTGGGAAAAATCTCTTCAGTCCCAAGCTCCCAATTTTTCATTAATAAAACCAGACAATATTAATGAATAGTCTGTCTTTGGTGCACTCTAGGGGCTTAATAAATGACCATTTTCTTTCCTTCCTATTTATATCTTTTTTCTTCCTCTTGTATTTTTAGCTTCCTGTCTAATTAGCTGGATTTTGTTTGTTGGTTGGGCTCTGGGCCTCTCTTTGCAGGCTTTTCTCCCTGGAAACATGACAGGGAGAACCTGGAGGAACATTTCAAGGGGTAGCCAGTTTATTGTTCATTGAGTTCATTGTCAGGATTCATGGGTGGTCTGTGGCTTCCCACAGTGATTCCTGGAGGCAGGTGTTTGTTTGCTTGTTTGCTTGTCGGTAAGGGTAGGTTTTTTTTTGTTTGTTTTTTGTTTTTTTTTTGAGACAGGGTCTTACTTTGTCACCAAGGCTGGAGTGCATTGGCATGATCCTGGCTCATGGCAGCCTTGACCTCCCAGGCTCAAGTGATCCTCCCACCTTAGCCTCCTGAACAACTGCGACTACAGGCACATGCCACCATGCTCGGCTAATTTAAAAAGGTTTGTCTTTTTTTTGGTAGAGATAGGGTCTCACTTTGTTGCCCAGGCTGGTCTTGAACTCCTGGCCTCAAAGGATCCTCCCGCCTCGGCCTCCCAAAGTGCTGGGATTACAGGTGTGAGCCACCAGCCCCAGTCTGTTCATTTTTTTTTGTAGGCTATTTTTTAGTACTTCAGTTATAAGATGAATAATAATGATGTCTTAAATATGCTTTTACATCTGCTTTTCAGCCTAACAACAATCTTGGGGAGTAGGTACTTTTATTATCCCCATTTTACAGATGAGGAAACTGATGCTCAGAGAAGTGGGTGATTTTCCCAAGGTCGCTTAGCCAGGAAATGTGAGAACACAGCAAGGACTCTGCTCCATGGCTCCATATCCCGTTCTCTCTGCCACAACTTGATGTCACCCTGCCATTGTCCTGGCCAAGCTGTGGCCTTCTTTCCCTCCTTCTTGGTCTCCCTCCCTTTTCTTCTTTGTCGTTATTAATATTGGTTCTGGCCTGGGCTCAATGCCTGTTGCTGGGAGATACAAAGATGGATAAAACAAAACCCCTGCCCTGAAGGAGATAACAAATGTGTGGATTAGACAAGAAACATTTTGTGCAGCTTCTCAGCTGTTCTCTTCCTGGAGTCAGCAACTCTGGGACCCCTTCCTGATCCTCTAGCTGGATTTGGGGCCTCCTCTGGGCTCTGTAGGGTCATGAGGCCTCCTTTCCCACTGTCCTCTGCCTGGCCTACCCTGCACCTGCAGCGCCCTCTAGCTTCTGATCCCTGGAGGGCAGGGAGGTGTCTGGTGCATCTCTGTGTTCCCAGTTCCCAGCACTGGCCTTGCATGGAGCGGGCTTTGGGTGTGTTGCATTGTGGGCCCTGTCTCTTGGGATGGTCTCAGGAGCATCCCTGACCCCACACCCTGACCCAGCATTCAGAGAATCTGCCTCATTAAGCTCTGGCCAGGGCCAGCTCAGACTGGAGGGTGTGCAGTCACTTGGGAAGGATCC